CCGCACGCACGCACCCACACAAACACACACATACACACACACACTTGGTAATTGGGAGCGCACCCACAACAACAACAACAACAACAACTAAGGGCAACAACAATAATAATAAACAAACGCTGAAGCGCCAAGCCATTGTGCTTAAAAACAAAGAGTCCGTGAAAATTCAAGACAAAAGCATGAAATTTATTTATGCGGTGGAAAAATTGAAAAATCTCATGAAAAGCTTAAACAGCAAGAAGCAGAAGAAGGAGACGAAGAAGAAGATTGGCCAACAGGCGAAGTCGCCAAAAACAAACGAAAGCCCAATGGCCACAGACAAAACGAGGGAGAGATGACACTAGACTGAGAGAGGGAGGCAAAGCGAGGGAGGGAGAGGGACTGAGTTAAGCATAAGCCGTAGAGCTGTAGTTAAATAAATGCCTGACAATGGAAATACCCTGTGGAGGCGCTAAAATTAACTCAATTTAAATGCATTTGTGAAATGTAATCTCTAAAGTGCCCAACTTGGAAAATACCCTAAGTTTAAAAAACTAAAACAGAAAAAACTGAAAATTAAACTACTTTAAAAGGATTTCAAATTATCTATTAAACATTAATCTAATGCTCGTTGTGCAAAGGAATTTTTGTTGAATTTATACAAATTTCTAAACTAAAATTCTTAACTATTCTTCATATATCACATAGCAAATCTTTTTGAATATTATCAGAAAATCTTTTCACATTAGATTATATATTTCATATTTTCTTCTCACATCAATTAGTAAAATTTTTGTTACACACCTTTGTACATTTCACATATACCCTATACTTAACACATTCAATGTGCACAGGGTATATTAGAATGGGGGCCAAAGGGTCAGACAATTAACCCTTTTTTCGTAGTAGACGAGGCTGAGCCAGGCGCTAGGGCAATTCAACAATTGCTTTGAAGTTGCTTTTATGTTGTGCCTGGCTTGGTTGGGTCGCTCAGACTGAGTGTTGAGTTGTTGTTGTTGTTGTTGCTTTTGGCTAGAGGTGTTGGCAGTTTCAATTGGAATATGGCTTTAATTAGTTTATAAAGAAGAGCGGGCAATGCAATAAAATTAATCGCTTATGCCGTAATCGTATTTAAGCCACAACGCCCTCCCTTTTCCACTCTTTCTCTCTGCCCCTCTCTCTCTCTCTCTCTCTAGTTATGTCTGCCCCTTTGTGAGTGGTCGCAATTCCCAGAGAATCAATCATGTATAGCGAAGCGTACCTGATGCCATTAAAGCTGACTTAACCAGATTGTCAGCTACTCGAGCGGAAAGCCACTGCTTTGCTATATTTATATACATTGCTGATGTTTATATATAGAGATAATTAAAATTGCATTACAGCTTTTGGCTGTATATTTATTTTCCTTTTTTCATACACCACATACGACTCACATGGGGCCTTACTATATGCAAACATTAAAGTTTCACAATTAAATTGAAGCTAGTTTGAATTGAAGCTAGTTTTAAAAAATTATGAACTACTGGAAAAATATTTGATATTTAGCTAAACCTTTATATTTTGTATAGACAAACATCAAATATCATCTTTACGCCCATTTTATATTATCACACTTGCTGCTCAGAATATGCAAATCATTCAATAACAATTTTGAGCTGAAAGTGAAATTTTTCATTATCAATTCACAGCACAAGGCGTTTGAGTGGCGCACGCGAGAGAGAGAGAGAGAGGGGTAGCGTATGGGCACCTCACGGGACTACTAATACAACAACTGATCTGCATAAGTATTCGCACAACAAGCTTACTCTACTCCGTTATGGCTCAGCTTAAGCTCAGCTGCTGCTGCTGCTGCTGCTTATTATCACTAGGCAGAGTGTGATAGAAAGAGAGAAGAGCGTATAATACCAGTAGACTACCAACACATACACATGCGAAAGCAGCAAACGAATTGCAGAGCTCAGCTTGACCCGAAACGGCTCGGCTTTACCGCTGCTTTTGCTTCGGGCTCTGCCAATGCCCAGCGCCCTGAGCGCTCTCATACACAAATTGAGAGAGTAGAGAATGCACTAATACAAATACAATACAATTACAGCAACTGGATCGCAAAGCTATCGGCTAAACAGGAGTTCGGCTTTAGCTTATTCGGCAAGCCTTGACTCGGCTGTGACTTTGTCTCTGCTTTGATTCTGCCTCTGCTTCTGCCACTGCCCTCTGCCCTATGCTCTCTCTGACCGGCAGCTTATATACAAACTAAGAGAGTGTGTTGAAGAGAGAGTATAAAGTGCAAAATACAAATACAATTACATCAACTGGATCACAAAGCTGTTGTCGTCACAAGAACTCAGCTTGACTGAGTTCGACTAGGCGCGACTCGTCTCGGCGGTGACTCTTTGACTTTGATTTGGGCTCTGCTTCTGCCTATTGCCTCTGCTGCTGCTGCTAGGTTAGACACCTGCTTGAACATTAACGAGATCTGACTCGACTCAACGGTTTGCCCATGTGGTCGATTAGCGGGCGTAGCACCCAGTGGAAGAAGAAGAAACAGCATAAAGAGCAGCAGCCACCAAGCCCCCGCTTGGCATTCGCTCCCACCGGTTAGTGGGATGGTCGCTGTCGCAGCCGCAGCCGCCGCAGCAGCAGAGACAGCCGCAGTCGCCGTTTTTCAAATGCTAAAATTGGCGATTAGTCAAAATGATGTCACCGAGTTATTTTGATTGTTTTTTATATACATACGTATTTATTTATTTATTTATTTTGCTTTGCTTTCGTTTATTTATTTATTTATTTTTTTTGTCTATGCTTTTTGGCATTTTAGCATGACTGTTCGAAGCGGAGTGTCATCAATTTGTTCATTGATTAACTTCACGAAGTTCTCAACTATCAAAAGGGAGTTGGATTATTATGTATAGTTAACTGATTATGTTTGTATACCCAATATACATATGTGTTATTTATGATAGCATCATCTTTATATGTTAGTATATATTTATTATATAAACTTTATAGGCTTTCTTGATCAAAAATTCCCCTAAAGAAAACAATTTAATACTAAACATAAATTACTTTTTTGGCTGATGTAAGAATCGAAGATCAGATCATCATCTACCTATATAGGGTATGCAATGATTTCATACCAATTAATAGAAAATAAAAGCAAATTGGAACTGTATTTAATGTGTGTACGTACGGTAAACGCTGAGTAAGATCTATTGTCAAAGCTGTTTTTAGCACAATGTCTTTGTTATAATTAATTTAACTTTCGAATTCTGGAATTCAAGAATTCGCGAAGACTCTAAGAGATTTGTCTGTAAATTGGAACTACTCTAACATCAAATGTTTTTACTTTAAGGAAATACCATTTTTCTTAAATATTAGCAATTTCACACCTCTATAATTTTAATAGAATTTTTGGTTGAAAGGGAAAAATAAATTCCCATTGTTAAGTTTAAGAATAAATAAATGTTTCTGAAATTTGTACTTTTAAAGATTATTTCATATGCAGTACAATTTTTAAGTGAATTATAATTCTGAGTAAATCATTTTCAAGACTTCCTCTTATCGAATGCTCACTGTATCATATTACTTATGCAATTTCGGGAGCAAGATCTGATCTAATGCACTGGAGTCAAGCAGAAATTATTTAAGAAAAAACCAAAGCAAACAACAAATGACAGAAGCTAACAAAAAGGCCACAAAAAACTCAACTAATTACGAAATACCTGAAAAATAGATTAAAAATACAAAAAAAATGAGGAAGCAAATGGTGCGAGAGAAGGGGAATTAGTGATGCATGCAAATGAATTGAATGAATTGCAAGCGTTTGATTTACAGTAACAGAATACAAATAAAGCACAATAAAAAACAAAAACAACCACAAAAATGTGTAAACGAGCTCTCAATAGGCGAACAGGGGAAACGTCGAGAGGAGGTAGAGTGTCCCACACATTTTAGATCAAGCGAGAAAGAGTGGAGAGCTGAGGTTGAGTGTGTGGGACCTTTTGCCTCCTACTTGCTCCCCTTTTTTTCGCACAAGAGGCAAAGGCTTTGCCTCACGCCCGCACTCCCCTCGACAAAAGCGACCAAAGGAGGACGGGGAAGGGTGCCAGCTGCTACGTTGCGATGCGTCGCATCGTGTTTTTATGAATGAAACAAAATTGGGAAGCGTTTGCTAAAAAGAAAAACACAATTTGTGTGGCGTTCGAAATGCAATTTGTTTACCTTTTTTGTTTTATTTTTGTAATTGGCTGCTTGGCTGCTGGCTGGCGTTGACTATGCGTCACTTTTGACCTGTGACAGTTTGTTCGAGTTTTGCACTTTTGCCCTTTGCTAGTACCGTTGAATTTTGTGCTGCGACTGCTCTTTTTAACGGTTGTTTGCTTTTTAATTGAATTTTTCACCTGCTTCGCCCTTTAGCACTCTTGAAATTGCTGACTTTGGCCTTGCGAAATATGTTGACAGACAGATATACAACAACTTCTGTTTCTCTGTTATTCGGGCTATCTTCGACTTCGCTTTTACGTTGCCCGAGACGCACATACACAAACGCACGCACGCATACACATAAACAATAAAACGCACACACACTCGCGGGAGCCCAACAAACACAGCTTCGTAAGCTGGATGAGTTTTTTAAACAATTTTTATTTGCACTTGCGATTGTGTATGAATAACAGTAGTTTAGCACACACGAACGTTTTGCTATTTATGAATGAATTTAATATATTAGTTGGCTGCTGACGGCTTTTTATGTTAATAACAATAATTTTGTTTACGCAGCGGCTAAATACACGTCGCCCGCTGCTGCACTTGACTCTACTTTCAACCACCGACTGCCCAATGTGACCAGCGCAAGATATGCGCCAGAATCTAGCAATAGTTCCCATCGAATACAGCCAGAGCGTTAGCGCCAAAAATACCAAATACCATGACTTCAAAACAAATACCAATTGTGCCGGCTACTGCTTTTTTATTTGACAATTTCAAGCAATGAAAAGGGAAAAATGATTTAATTACCTTTTTTCTTTTGCTTTTCCGTTTTACATTGATATATATTTTCGGACAAACACTTAACAACTGGTATATGGAGCTATTCCTTATTCTATTCTTCCTTCAAGTTTTTAGCAGCCGCACTTGGCGTAATAGGCGCGGTTGTTGCAGCAGAGTTTTCCCTTCGCGCTCTTTCCTTAAGCTGGGCCGTCTTTAGGGTGACCATGATTTGTGTTGAGCTATATAGCCAAGTGCCCTACAGAAAAAGAAGAAACGTTTATCAATAGTCAAATATATAGTATATATATAAGAATATCAAATTTACAATTAACAGCATGCAATTTAATAAAATGGGTATGGAGAAAACAGTGGAGATAAAGAGGCCGTTGTTATCAAAGTATTGTTGCTTAGAGAATGTTTTCCAATTCGCTGCAGCATATTCGTTAATGCTTTCAGAGAAATAAACAAAAGACACTGAAAAGATAAATACATGTAAATTAAAATGGATGCACAATAAACTTTGAGCTCTAATAGTTCGATACATACAAAGTACAAGAAATAGAAAAACTTGAAAGTTTGTACAATTCCGTGTAAGCAAAGCTGTACTCGTCGTTAGCACATGCACCAAAATTAATCCAATAAGCCAAGGATCCTTCCAATCAATCTTAAAAAGAATAAATTCAATTCAAATCTCATTTCTTTATCCATATGCACATATTATTCTTTGCACAACTTACACTCATTAGAAATGACCATATGCCGGTGATTTCGTTAACTTCGATTTCCCCGGGATGCATTTTGTAAACTTTCCAAATAAATTATTCACAATATTTTTTGAGTTTGAACAAAAAGGCAACGAAGTTGCTCGAGCAGTAGCCACGCACAAAAAATGTAAACAAATTTAATCAAAAACATAGAATAATCGGCATATCGATACAGGCACAGCTGATGTGGCAGCGATGTACAAAATTAAAACATCGATAAAGTGATGAAATAACAATGTGCAATTAAAGGCTTTGATAATCAACTAAGCACGATAAAAGTAACACATTTTGAGATTAAAAATAAAACCAGAACACATTTATTATATTTTCACGCAGAATCATCACATCAATAAACTGCTGATATAAAAACAGCTGATAAGACATTACGATATATATCACATAGTATATCGATTGAGTGCAGCCAATATGAAATAAACAATGCACGTCATTTTGGCACAGACTGACCACATATTTTTATATAAAACTTCCGAAAAACGTATTTCAGCCCTGGAGCGATGGCTACATTGTGCGTGCGTGTGTGTGTGTGTGTGTATTTATCATCATGCAGCTTGAACGTCTCAAACTTTGCTTTCACTGACTCAGTAGACTCTAACATTAACAAAAACTGAAAAATTCTCCACAAAGAATTTATTAAATACATATACAGTCAAAATTATAGTAAGCATAAAACCAAAGCATTTAGTTTTGTTGTCGTTAAGCCCGGAAAAAAGCAAAAAAAATAACAAAACGTGCGAGAGCAAAACACAGAAATTCAACGATTAAACGTGCGAGCAAAGGGGAAAAAACGGAACACGCAGAGCGAAAAAAAAAGAAGCAAAAGCTAACAAAGCAATCTCATATTGTTGTTTATAACTAGCGGGTGCGGAGGCAATTCCGCATCATTACATATGCAACTGTGAGCAGCGCGTTTCGCTCGTTGAATGGCTTGCGCTTGCTCCCAATTTGTTTACTGTTATTTTTGCGTTAGTTGTTGTTGGCGTTGGTGTTAGTGTTGAGAGATTTGGCTGTCGGGAGAGTTAAAGGGTGAAAGCTTTAACAACGACTCGCAACGGCAGGTGGTTAAAGGACAGGCGGCGACTGTCACGCAACAACAGCCGCAGCGCCCGTGCCAAACAGAAGCCGCGGCCTCCGCGTAAACGAGTGCCACCTGTGCGCAGGCGACTACACATACAGCAGCTGCAACTAAATTCCTTTGCGATGGCCGTCAAGCAGAACCCACAGGATCAGCAGCAGGAGCAAGAGATCACCGCAGCAGAAGTAGCTGCGGCTGCAGCAGCAGCAGCAGCGGCGGCGGCGGCGAATTCAGCTGTGGGCGGTGTCCCAGCAAATCCAACAGATGAAGGAGGAGGTGGCTGTGGTGCTGGCGGAGTAGACGTGGCCAATGAACTGAACGATAATGCGGACAACAAGACAGAGTCCGCTACAGGAACGGGCAAGAGCTCGTGCTCCACCGAACGGCAACTGCACGATATCAATGGCCTGATCAACATTATGCAGGCGATCGATCCGGAAGATCAGCAGGCCACGCTAATGATCTACCAGCACGTCATCTTCAGTCTGGCGCGCATGCAGCTGAGCACCAAGCCGGAAGATATGAAGCGCTTCAAGGAGGAGATCACCAAGGTGGGCCACTTCCTTGCGCTGCCCAAGAAGAAGCGCTACCTCATGTTCTACTTGCGCATCGTGTATCAGCTAATCACCCAGGCCTCCTACGAGACGCCCTCCTGTGCCGTGGCTATTGTCTTTCAGCTGTTCAGCCCGGACCTGATCATCGAGGCGGTGCAGCTGCTGCTCGATCTGAATGTCCAGGATGACAGCATACGCAAGACGGTCGGCTTGCTCTGCAAGTGGATCAGTAGCTGCAACTTTTGCCAGAATATGAATCTCTGGATCATGGCTCTGCTGCAAGGGCTGCGCGAGCAGGAGAAGTACTTGCTGCTGGACGAGATTGCCCTGGACAACCTTGAGCCGCTGTTCATACTGATGATCTTTCCGGCACTGCGCCCCAAGGTGGCGCCCATCGTCTTTCACATGATGTCCACAATCAATCAAACGCCAGAGGTCTTCTACAAGGTAAGAGACCTTCTACAAGGATTGACCAGAATTTATATATGATACATCCTCCTCCCCAGATGCTACCCAAGATTCCCCTTGTCATTGGCTGCCTGAAGAGCCAGGACGGCACGCCCAGTGACCTGCGCAGCTACATACAGAAGGTGGTTGATCTCACCAATGCGTTGATGATGCGCTTCTACGACAACGACGAGCTCTACGCGCCCATCAAGGCGGCCCTGCAGCTCTACGAACCCTCGCCCAATTGTGTGGCCTTGGCCAGGGCGCTCTTCGAGAATGCCTTGCCCCGGAATGCGCGCGTTGGACTCGTCAATCTGGGAAATACTTGTTACATGAACAGCGTGCTTCAAGCGCTGGCCATGACCAGCGAGTAAGTGCATCCAAGTGAACTCATCTATAAACTGGCTCTAATCTCCTCTTCCCCTGCAGCTTTGTGCGTCAAATCCTGCTTATTGAGAGCGGCTCCTTGCTGCTGCTGAAGGTGCAGCAGCAGCTGGCATTGATGCACCATTCGCTGCGCTACGAGCTGACGCCGAGTCGCGTCCTGAAGGCGACCAGACCGCCGGGTTTTACGCCCGGACTGCAGCAGGACAGCTCCGAGTTCCTAGGCTACTTGCTCGATCTGCTCCATGAGCATGAGATCAACAGTGGCGCGGCTCAGCACATGGACCCGGAGCTTGGCAAGGAGACACAGGAATCGGAGTCGGCACTGACAGAGGAGATTGTCGCCGCCGGGGTTATACCCTACAATAGCAACGATCATGTGCACAATCAGCGATCCAATGCGGCGGTTATGTCACCGGCCACGCCCACCTCGCAGCCCAGCCAACCGAAGAAACCGTCGACCATTGACAAGACCTTCGCTGGCAAATTGTCGACGACCTACAAGTGCTTGAACTGCTCCTGGGAGAGCCGCAACGAGGACAGTTTCCGTGAGCTGCAGCTGTCCTTTCCGGACGACAAGGACGACTGCGGTGCCACCAATTACTCCGTACAGGATTTGATCGACTACTACTGCTCGCCGGAGAAGCTCGACGGCGACAATCAATACTTTTGTCCACGCTGCAAGAAACTCTGCGATGCCGAGCGACGCATCGGCATCACGCAGGCCCCACGCAATCTCATCTTAACGCTCAAACAATTCAAATACGATCAGAAGTATCATTTTCGCACAAAGCTCATGCACAAGGTGTTCCACGACGAGAGCGTAAGTTGACAAACAACAAGAGAGAGAGAGAGAGAGAGAGAGGTGGAGAGATTTGTGAAAATAGTATTATTTAGAAAATATTTCACATGTAGATAGATTTCTGCTCTGCTTCTGTATTATTATATTACCCATTCCCTAGTATAATCAACATATTGCATTACTATGAAACCTTTCCGACTGAGTAATTCCAAGATTTTACGTACATAAACAACTTATTATAGATTAGATAGATCCCTCATAGTACTGTATGACTTCCATAGCACAATATCAATTCCTAGGGTTTATAGTTTAGTTCAGTTATCTGAATTTGATAAGAAGTTTGGAAAAGCACAAGCTCTATAAAAAACTATATAAATGTATACAAATTATATATGTATGTACATGCTTATCAAATGTATATATATTTCAAATTGCGGCAGCAGAAATTCCTTATAGATTAATATTCTTAATGTAATTTCATTAATTCAAGGGATTTCCCAAAATTCAAAGTTTTTCCTATGGATCCCATAAATATGTTTCTGTTCTAGAAAGATTCTCTACTTTATCTCTTATATGTAGATCCCTTGAGTTTTATGGATTATTTAGCGGTTCCCCTCTCTCTCGCTCTCTCTTTAGGATCTCACTCCCTCCCTTTCTACAGAATTCTCATCGCATCTTATCTCTTACAGGTGATTGTTAAGGTCTGCGCCACCGACTCTCTCCAGGAGACGTGCACCGTGCACTATGATCTCTATGCCGGAGTTGTGCACGCCGGCTACAGCATGGACTCCGGACACTACTTCACCTTTGCCGCCGATCAGTCCAAGAACTGGTTCAAGTTCAACGACAACCTGGTGACCAATTCGAAGCCGCAGGAGATGCACAGCCTGACCTCACCGAACACGCCCTACATTCTCTTCTACCAGATGTGCGGCCGGTCCACGGAGTCGTCGCCCGATGGACCCATGCATCCCATGGTGCCGGAACCGCTTGTGCCACCCCTCACGCTTGACGAGCTGCCGCGAACCCTGCGCGACTACGTGAAGCAGGACAATCGGGAGTACAGCGAAGAGTTGAAGCTGCAGCGCTTCAAGCGGAACGCCAAGCAGCAGAACGTGGCTGGCAACGGGACAATGCAGCGCAACGGCTATGAAGGAGATGACGAGGATGATCACATGCCGCCGCCCGCCGGAGGCTGTGGTGGCAATGATCTGGGCATGAATTTCAATCGTTTCGTCTACTGATTGTGGAATACCGAGAAAAACACAAATACACACCAACACACACAGAACCACTCGCGTATATTTATACATACATATATATAATACATATGAATTCATTCATATATCAACATATATGTATGTATGTATAGATAAATTGGCATGTATTTGTGCTTTGCAGTCTGCACACGCTAAGGCGAACATTACGTTTCGTTATCATTGTTCCTTATCACACACACACTCACACACACACACACAGCATATATATTACAATTGTATTTCCATATATTTACAAATTTGTTATAATTTTTTAAAATTACGCATTGTTTTTTGTTGAGACACAAATTTAGTTATAGCTAAGAAAAGCTAAAAAAAAAAAAAAAAAGCAAAAGCATAGCGAGAATGTTATAATATTCCCTATATATACATATATATATATATACCATATACCAAAACAAGCTTCAAGAAAAAGAGACAAACTTCCAATTCTGGCCTCCAAAATAATATCTATATATATAATCCCCCATATATGAAAACAGGTCTATTAAATCTAAGTTTAAAATGCACAAAACCAAATATTTTGTGCCCTGTAAAAAAACAATATCACAAGCAGCCACAGAAATCTAATGCAAAAAAATCTATATATACATAGACATATTTATATATATACATAAATTCGTATATAAATTTAACATTTACTTTTAATGATTTGTGAATTTTTAAAATTAACACGAAAACCTTTTTTTTATTTGTTGGAAAGTCATGATAGGATTATTGAATATTATTGCAATTAAATTGGAATAATTTCAATTTATAGAAAAAACACATTTGTATATGCTGTAACTTATGAATATTTATCAATTACATTTATAAGGGTCTGAAATAAAACTTAAAAAAAAATTCCTTTTAAATTACATTTGCATATTTATATGCAGGGTATTTAATAGTGTCACACTTTGAATTTACTCAATAGTGGCGGCTGCACGATATTCATATTTTGCGTATTTTCAGCTGTACACACTGCTGGTCACACTTGGCAACCATTTAGCTCCAGCTGAAATACGTCACATACACACAGACGCTCGCGCACACACATGGACAGTTCTGGAGCGCGCCTATAAAATGAGCACAACACGACGCGCTCTCGAACAGTCGCTCGACTTACGGAGATAAAACGCGGCGACCGTTCCAATCAGTCGACGTACAGCGCTGCAACAACAAAGACCACGACTAGAAGACTAAGAACTGAGTGCAAAAGTAAATAAATAGCGAGTTTTAACTGTGTTTTGATACGCGTGGCGCACAAATCAGGCAAAGACAGTGTGGCAAATCCAACTAGAAGGCACATAATTTGGCCAGCCATAAACTAATTTGTATGGCTCAGCAGCATCAAAAGAACATAAGCAGCAGCAGCAGCAGCAGCAGTAGCAACAGCAACAGCAGCTAGCAAACACACAACAGCAGAAACAACAAACAACATTGCTGATTTATACAAATACAAATAATTCATTTTTTTGCAACAAGGCGTTTTAAAGCACAATTGATTTATTGTTATAATTATTATAGTTGTTCTTGTCGTTGTTGTTGTTATTCGAATTGCACGCAATAGACTTTTGCCAGCTGTTCGTTGGAGCGAAATTGCGGTAAAAGCACAATACACGAAAATTGGAAAATCCAATAAAAAAAAGCGAGAGTGTACTTGTGGCTGTATCTGTGTGTGTAAGCGGGGCCCCGGTCAACGTCCTGCCTGAAAGTAGGGTTATGTACGCCCGTATCCTCGCTGCTGCTATCGTCGGCTGCTGCTGAAGGTGAGCGAAGGACATTGCGCCTACCGGCTGCTATACAACGTAGTAAAGGCGACCCACTGAGCCACAACTGATTCTAAAAAAAAAATACCAACACACACAAAAGACACTCAACATGCGCATTTTTCCTGTACGCCTCTCGGCCGCCTCGTCCTCGATGGCGAGCCTGGCCAAAATGTTGGATTTCTACTCGAGCTTCAATCCGTCGCCGTTGTCAATAAAACAGTTTATGGATTTTGGTGAGTTGGTCTATTTTTGGTAAATAATTCAATGTGCTTGAGTCCTTGCCGGCTTTCGTTAGGTTTCGCTCAAGCTCTGCCATAACTATTGCGCGCTCTCCTTCTCTCTCACACTCACGCAATCTTCTACTATGCGCGAGAACAGTCTTGTATAACAATAAACACTTGATTTTATTACATACATACATACGTCATTAGATTCAACGCTTTTGATCTACGCGTCTTGCATAACGTGCCAAACTGAATAAATTGTTGTCGTTGTTCGATAGTTCGATAGTTGACGATGGAAAATCACTCAAAATTAGCAGAAGCAGCTCAGTACGTGACATATGTCGCTTGTTTATGTTGTGATCTTGCGTAACGTAAACTCACTCAACTTGACGAAAGAAGAGAGCGAGAGCACTCAAACATTTGCGCTCAATATGGAAAATAAGCTGAGCTTGGCTTTTGGATTTTAGATTTTTGCTTATACATAGCTGGACTGCGCAAATTGCCGTTATCTAATATTCAATTTAATTTCATTGAATTGTCAATTAAGCAGCTACTACTGTAGCACAAACTGTTGACTGTGCACTGACAGAGATAGATAGAGAGAGAGAGAGAGAGTTAGTGAGAGGAGAGCATAAATAAATAGCCATCTCAATTGCACGCTCCAATGTGTAAAACTATAGAAAACGGAAGTTCCCACAAATGAGCTTAGTTTTCATTAGCCGTCAACAATGAATGGCAATGAAATTTTATACTCTTGCTACAAAATGCTTAGCCTCCTCCCGTCCCCCGGCTCGCTGCCAGCCAGGCCCACCCACCAGTTGCAATGACAACGGGCTCGTGCCACCCAAGGACGTTTCAATGTCAATTATATATATGTGAATATATAGACGAATATATAGATCCACACGGATATATAGACAAAGTTGCTATATACCAATATAGACATGCATATAAATGCATTTATAAGACTGTTCTAAGCTGCACGAAAAACCTGCCTCAATAAGCGAGACTTTGCTAGCTGCAGTATGACACTATGTGCTACCCTGTAAGCGCGCCTAAAGTGTTATCTAAGCAGGTGAGCAAAAGGCTGTATTTGTATATAAATATAACTTAGTTTTAAGTCAGAATAGGTTGAAAAAATAACTTTTTGATAGGATACTTTCAAATGAATAATTATCTAATTTCCCCAAGAAAAAATATGACTCAGACAAAAAGCAAATGTACGCAAGTCGAACAAAAAACAAAAACTATTGAAAGCTTATGCTTAAAAATAAATAAATACCTAAAAAGCAATTTTCCCAAAGAAATGAAGATGTATGTACATATGATTTAAGTGAAAATGTCAAATATGGTATATATATTAAATATATAGTTAATTTAAAAAGAAGCAAATGTATTTTTGCATTTATCTAAAATTTTGTTTTTTGCACCAAACAAATATTTCTTCGATGTGAATCTCTGATCATCATCTTAAATTGGAGAAAAATAATGAAATAAAAATAAAATATAATAAGTGTTGAAGTCTAACTGGCTTATCATTTCTATAGTTTCATTTTTTCTGAGGCCAATCGTACATCTGTTTAGCTCTATACGATATCAATTATGCAATATCTTAGCAATCTCTGCTTACGTCAATTCCTAATGAGTATTACGTCTCTTTTACTTGTATTGTTGCTGCCATACGTCTTTTTATGCCGCTCCACTGTATATTTACTATTACATCTTCATTAAATATCAAGCACGTAGCTGCTGTCACTCCTAATATCTCTCAGGACTCTCAGTCCATAGCCCCATACTCATACCCCGGCTTTATAGGCCTTTATAGGGTATTACGCACGTTCTTTCCACCTAAGCTACTGTCACTCACAATATGCCCTTAAAGTATATTACTAAAGTACAGCTCGCACGACCTTCAACTCTTGCCATCCTCTCCTCTTCGCATACCCCTCCTCTTGCTATCTTTATAGGGTATCGCACACACGACCTTCTCCCCAGGCGACTATCGCTCATTCTTAGGCATTTCACAGAAACAACAACAACAACAAAAGTTCTTAGCCAACGACTTGGAAACAATGCGTTCAAGCCAAGTGGCTGAAGGGCCTAGATGTGACGATGTCCTAGTGGAACCGGTTAGGAGGTCTGGCCCCAAGAGGAGGCTGTTGTTCTATTAATAAAGTGGGCCAGGCCAAGCCGAAGGTTTCTTCTTGTTTTTGTCGTTTTCTTATTAATAGAAATTGTACGAAAAACAGGCTCGTGGACAACATTGGTATACATACATATTTATAGCCCCCATATAACCCCTAAGTAAACCCCATTTTATCCATTATTTATTATCTTTTGTTTTCGCTTTACTGAAGTGCAAAACAACATTACCACACAATCAAATATCAATATACTTGATATATACAAACATACACATACATACATATATAAGTAAATGTCGACATATACGCGACTCTGCATGAACTTCCGATGCGAGCGATAAGATTTGCACAACTTGTGTGATCAACTGTACCCCGACATGGAACATATTGTATGAGCTCAAAGCAATTGCTCCATAGATAAATCATGAGAATCGACTCAGCTGCACTCATTAACAACTTGTCGAGAGTGTAATAGATACAGATTTCGCACATCTGTATATAGCACAGATATCGTGGATTATCTTTTATGGCACACACTTGCTGTAGTATGCCAACATTTTTTGGTATTATCAGCTTACAATATGCAAATTCATATTAAATACTGCGAAAACACTTCACTTCAGATTGTTGCTAATTGTTATTTATTATTAAGCTACTGACATCAGTGGACAGTGGAGCTACGATAGAGTGAATGATAAAGGTTATAGGAGAGCTGGAAGGTGTTGAAAGGTTTTTTTAGACATTGTAAACTCTATGTTAATTAGTATTATTAGAGAGTCTTTAAATTATAGGGTATTCAACACATCCCACAAATAGTATAAAGTATAAAATATTCTATCTGAAACGATCTTCTTATTTGCGGAGAGGATACGATTTGAAGCTTATATATTAAGGGATTTAGTTATAGTTATATGATCTCTTCGCAATCTAGGTTTCTCAGTAAAGTGAAGTGAAATATACCAGATATATTTAATAATTAGTTTACCATTAAAGTATTTTCAGTGTACAACTGTTAGAGTAAAGGTTATAATAGTCTCAAAGAAGGAAAATTAAATTTCTTAAAATATTGTTTATTTATATATTATATATTCTGTTCGTCTGGCTTACTTCAAAAAGCAGAAATTTCCAGTTTGGCAATGCCTTAAAGATAGCTCATACATAGATTATAGAATTGCTAAAAAATATTCCTATATAGAGTCGGGTGGTCAAAGTTCTAATGGTACAGTGAAGCTTCTATGTATTTTAAGTTCTACAATATTGAGAATTCCTTTAACTGCATCCTTATCAAAGGCTTTAGATTTAGATCTTATATATCTTATATAATCTTTGTTTATAAGGATCATTCACTGTAATCCCAAAACAATCTATTTCATTAAAACAGTCATTGTATTCAATTTATGATTATATGAATGTATATACCTATAAACGACCTTAATCACTTTCGCTATCAGTGGGCCAACGAGCAAAAAACAATATGTCAGAGCATATATAAAAAATATTTGATATGGCGAATTCGGAGGCTCGTTTTGATTATGCGAACGACCAAAATCATGTGCCAAAAATGTCTATAGTATATTTCTTTATTTTTTTTCAAAGAAATCAAATCATGTGAAAATATATATAAAAAATAAAATAACAAATTGCTGCGACTAAAGTCGACTAAATATATAAACACGAGTTTCTTGTATTTGTTTTTTTTTTAATGGAAAATTTTTTGACGCATTCGATAAGTATACGACATTATAATATATGGTATATTGAGTATACGTACCTGGTACATGACCATCTAAAGAAATGGAAATGGCAAAGAACTGTTAGCAGCATCAGAATGAACAGCGATTTCTAGACTTTGGGCACATCTTGAACTTTGGATCCTTCTACTAACCGGTTTCGTATAGCCAAAATAAAGAGGGCGAAAAAAAAAAAAACAAAATAAATAAATATAAATAAATGCAAACGCAGACGTCAAGAGTTAACCCAAATAGAAGAGGAAGCACAACAAAGAAATGAAAAAATAACAGAACAAAAAGAATTGCCAAAAAAGTCGAAGAAAAAGAGAGACAGAGAGAGAGACACCCCCGTGTTTTTTCTATACTCGTGATTATAATGACAGCCACACGCGCCTCGTTATTTTCCACGCACTTGCTGGCTAGACTGCAGGGTATATTATTTGTTGTTTTTTTCACAACAGTTATCTTTGATGAAAGAAACAAATAATAAGCGACATATGCTAAATTTCAGCTATTACAGAAGTCATTTGCCACTCATTTGCGGCTTTCGTCAAGTTTGTAGCATTTGCAACTGTAAATTAATGCTGTGTAAGGCAACACAAAGTTCACCAATCCAGCAATGAGCTCTTAGCATATACAATGTATGCGCGTACATATGTATGTATGTATGCATCTTCTTTTTCGTTTCTTTCTTTTGCTTTGCCTTGCGAAAAGTTTGTGTGTGTGTGTGCTAATTCGCTCGCACGTTTGCTTGTAGCCGGGCAGAAGGGGCCCGACAAAGGCGAATGTGAGTCGAATATACGCAAAAGATGATGATTGTCGGTAAAAGTGGATCTAATAAATACGCTGATGCCATAGCAAATGTTGCTCACACACACACACACGAACAATACGTACATATACATAATATGCTGTGGGCGTGCCTTGCTGCTGCTGTGACGTCACTGCGTCACAGCAAACGCTGCTCAAGTGGCTATTTTCGCATTTGTATGTAAATGTAATTGAAATGGAAATAGAAATTGAATTCTAACTGTAATTGCAGTCCGTTCGGCTTATTTTACTCAACTTGAACTATCCCTGACCTTGGTTCGGCTTGACTCCAGTGGATTGTGTGTGTTACCATTGCGTGACGTTATAAATTATTTATTGCATTTTCCAGCACTGCACTGCGATTGAGTAATTGTGTGTTGAATGGCTAAACAGTTAACAAGACGCAGGAAAAGCACTCAATTGAGTACTAATTGAATTCGTGACGATGAAATTTGTCACCTGCCAATATTTGGTCTTTGGGTATTCATATATAGTATACACATACGATATTTGATCGAGTACTTTGCCCAGACGCAGGCATTAACAAACAATTATTTGCTAATAAAGTTTTGTTATCACGCGAGTTGCAATGAAAGTGAGGCCAGACGCTTATCACTGGCGATGCATCAAAGCGTTTGCCAAGTGCCAGACAGGTCCAATCAAATGACCAAAATCTTCTTTTTGTTTGCAAGCAGCAAAGCGCTCTGAACAATAACATCACACACACACACACACACACACTCACACACGTTTTCATCGTCACATCAAAACAAGCGCTGAAAGCGGAAGGCTACAACAAAGCATAAATAAATATTCATACATATTCACGTACATATGTATGTGTATGTGTATGTATGTAGTTTGAGGTCAGCCTGTGGGTGCTTGTGCGGGAGTGAGGGGATAGCCGCTAAATTGTTGCGCGTGTTTGTCTTACGATCGTGTCCATTCCCTTTCACTCGCACATTCGTTGTCTGCTCGCTCACTCTTGCTGTGCGTCTCTCTATTTCCAGCCGGTAGTTTCTCGCAAATTCTAACTGGGCTGACGTCGCTGCTTGTTTTGATTCTTGATTTTTTATTTTGTTTTGCTTTTGTTGTGTTTTATGCTCTCCACAGTGTTTATTATAACTTGTTTTTATTGATTCTGTTTTGTTTTTAGAATTCGTTACAATAGCAACTCATACATAAGAAAAAAAATGGCCGACAAAGCTATCGTAACACTTATGACTAACGACAATAACAGCACTAGCACACACACGCACAAATATGCGTGTATTTAGTTTGTTTTTGCATACCGATATTCGTCGTAGATTTTAAGTGCTTTGGCCCACCATGAATGTTGACACTCTTTCGATTGCCCCCAACTGGACTCCGCTTATCGGAGAGCCTCTCAATTAGATTAGAATGTACACGCGTGCACAGTAATCAACGAAAAACAAAAAGAGAGGCGTGCCCTGCCAAATTTTGTCAACAGATGGCGCTGCACAGTTCAAGGTCTATGTGTGTTTACACATAATTGTATTTGAATTCATGTTCGTTGTTTCGTTGAGTTCGCTGTGCTTATCTCTCGTCTGCCGCTCTCTCCCTATCGCATGTTGCTGCTTTCTCATTGCGGTTTTGTTTTTGTTACGAAATTGTTGACGAGACGAGAAAAACAAAATACGAAAAATAGAAAATAAGTAAAAAGTACAAAGTTTTGGCTCGGCTTTGTTTTTTTTTTTTTTTTTTTTTTTTTTTTTTTTTTTGTTTTTTTAATATGCACATAAATGACTAAAGCACTTTTCGTTTCTGGCTCTTGACTTGAGCTCGTTAATCAATTAAGCTGAGATGGAATAAAGTGGATACGATTGTATATACATAGTATATACAATTAAAACTTGTAGTACTTTGAGGTTGAGAGAAGAAATTTAATTCTATTGATCAATCAAGCTAATTTTGATAGGAATTGCAAATGCATTTATGATCAAGACTTTTCGACTTTGTATGTTTCTACATATTCATGACAGTTTTCAATTCCATTTTACATACATATGTATGTATGTACATGTATGAAGCCATTGACTGACTGCATGATCGATGCAAATGCGATTTGGTTCCGACTAAATGGAACTATGATTGATAAGCCAAACTAGAACACCGTCTAGTCATTATATAAAAATCGATTATATGAAAAGAGTTAAAGAAAGGGAAAAACTGCAAAACACAAATTCATTCATCCATACCTAATTTAAATGTTAGTTTCTTACATTCTTGTTTTTTATGCCGAGAAAACTCTGCTCGAAGTCTTGGAAGCTAATTCAATGATATTCTTATCGATTTAGACCTAGAATCAAGCCCTCATAAGATCTCATAAGCCCCATACTATACTACATACATGCCCTTTCTAACCATCTCTTCCCCTCTCTCTCTCTCTCTCTCACAGGTCAAAATGCATGCGAAAAGAAATCCTTTATATTTCTGCGCAAGGAGCTGCCCGTGCGGCTGGCGAACATCATGAAGGAGATCGCCCTGCTGCCCGACAATCTGCTGCACACACGATCCGTGAGCGAGGTGAGCTCGTGGTATGTGAAGAGCTTCGAGGATGTGCTGGAGTACGAAAAGGTGGAGCCCACGCACGAAAATCTACAAAAGTATGAACCTACCTAAAATCTACTATAAATATAGACTCTATCTATAGCAAATGTCTCTTTGGATTTCTCACAGATTTGTTCGCGATTTGGATCTCATTAGGAATCGTCACAATGATGTGGTGCAGACCATGGCGCAGGGCGTCATCGAGATGAAGGAGAACGAGGGCGGCAATGTGGAAGCGCCCACGGAGAGCTCCATACAATATTTTCTCGATCGGCTCTACATGTCGCGCATTAGCATACGAATGCTGATCAATCAGCACAGTGAGTGTGAAATGATCTCACTATATGTTATATAAATATATGTTAACTCTCTCTCTCTCTATCTCTCTGTTTCTGTCCCTCTTTCCCTGTAGCTCTGCTGTTTGGCTCCAGTCCGCATTCGCAGGGCCGCCACATTGGCTGCCTGGATCCCGCCTGCGATATCTCCGATGTGGTGCGCGACGCCTACGAGAATGCGCGCTTCCTCTGTGATCAATACTACTTGACCAGTCCGGCTCTGGAGATCCAGCAGCACAGCTCGACCGACGAGGCCATACCCATACGCACTGTCTACGTGCCTTCGCATTTGTACTATATGCTCTTTGAGCTGTTTAAGAACTCGATGCGCGCCGTTGTCGAGCATCACAACCAGGACAGCAGCGACTCGCTGCCGCCGCTCAAGGTGCACATCTGCCGCGGCAAGGAGGACATTTGCGTCAAGATCTCCGATCAGGGCGGCGGCATACCGCGCTCCCAGTCCGATCAGCTGTTCAAGTACATGTACAGCACAGCGCCGCAGCCATCCAAGTCGGACTTGCACACGGTGCCGCTGGCTGGCTATGGGTACGGCCTGCCCATCTCCCGGCTCTACGCACGCTATTTCCATGGCGACATTGTGCTGCTGTCCTGCGAGGGCTTTGGCACCGATGCCATTATCTACCTGAAGGTTAGCTCCATCCACATCTCGCTCTAGCTTCTCGTCTAACTTTCCCAATTTCTCTCGCTTTCAGGCGCTTTCCGATGAGGCCAACGAGCTGTTGCCCATCTTCAATAAGACGAGCTCAAAGTTCTATAGGGCCACGGTGCCCACAGGGGACTGGTCCAATCAGGTAAAATACGTTAAGAAGAAGACGAGCGTCGTTCGCCAATAAGACAGGCTGTGCCAATGTGTGTGCGTGTGTGTGTGTGTGTGCAGCCAAATAATCCCGAGTCAACTCCCCTCCCAGCATGTGGATGACGGAACCCTCGCTTAAGCCCAAAGTCGTAAAATTTATTTAATTTTAAATTAATTATTTTGTTAAAACTGTAAAGCCTAATTTAATGTGTCTTGTCTATATGTTTTCCCCGATCCCAACAACTAATTTTGCATTTTGTCATTGATTGAGTTGACATTCCGAAATTATGAAAGATTTCGCAAGGGTTTAAAACATGGAACATAGGCTTTCCTCTTGTTTTAGTTCTTAAGCACGATAAAGTCTTATATATATTTTATATACAAAATATATATACATATACATGTATACATAAATCTATATTTATATTTATTGCAAAGTCTATTTACCCAATGCATAGACAGAGCATATAAAACAAAGTCTTGAAACGATTTACGAAATTAGTTTTCTCTTAATGTGAATTAGTTTGTAAGCTACGAGAATATAATTAAATTATATATATGTATGTTTTATCGAGCACACACTTTATAATGATATATTTATATATATACACACCTGCACATATACCCAATATACAATACATTTAATGCTATTTATTTATTAAGTTCTACTGAAGTTTTAATTAAATAAACTGATTGAAATCTTTATACACCCAACACACAAAACCAAATTTTTGTTGTTCTTGTTTTTTGTTTTTTGTTTATCCCCCATTATAGCTAACCAATTAACCAATTCCTGATAATCCTATGGTTTCTGGGTTTATATTAAGGTGAAAACTTTTTTATATAAAAGATTCCAAATTTTTAATGTGGATAACTCAAGTTTTTTAAGGGTATTATTTAAGACATATATCTTTTTAAGATCAGGATACGTTGGCCAGTTCAAGTTTTTGTTACAAATTGGCATAGTTTGAATTGGAAATATTTTGGTGGATTTTGAAACTGGAGATCGATAAAAATTTTACTAAATTATGTTATATTTTGAACTTACCGAAATGCATGTATGTATGTACGTATGTACATATGTATATTTCCCGAATTATCATCCAAAATTCTCGCCTCAACTTTAGGGCTAGTTCTTAAAGGGTTTGCCTGCTATTCCTGTTTGGTCTATCCCGTACTACTTCCTTCCTTCCTTATCCTCTTACGTTGTCTCTATTTCTGTTACTTTATCACTTTTGACATCTCTTTCAGCTTCTTTATTTCTTTTTCCGTTTTATTGCTCTTAAACTTGTTTTCATTAAATTTCTTTCAGAACTTTTCCAATCGTTGGCGTTATTTATATGGTTTCTTGAAAAATTTATGAATACTCTCTAAAGACTGCACCAATCGTATAGGGTATTTCAACAACTGCACTGCTTAGGGAACTATTCACTTTACAATTTTTAATTAATTTTAGTTATTTGTTAATGACAATTAGAAATTATAATTAAAGAGAGCTACGGACAGAGGCTAACGAATAATTCACACTCTTCTTATAAAGACTTTATGTATACAGTTATTAGATTAAAATTTTGCTTTGCTTTGATTTTTGTTTTCAATAAAATTCTATAAACAAATCTTGTCCACTATATACCCTGTAACGCTGCCATTGGTGTTGGTTCCCGCACAAAGTATTTAGATTTTAGGAATATTGATTGTCTAACTGAATTGATTGATTGATTGCAGAGCTCGGACATGAATGCAAGGCAGCTAAATGCGACCATATCGAGACGCTACAGCGACTTGGAATAGAAAATCGTCACGGAAAATAACTTAAATACTCAGGACAAACTGCGAGCAACAATAGATTATAATACAGAGAACTAAATGAAATATACACATACAAATATATTGAGAGAAAGATATATAGAGAGAGAGAGAGAGAGAGTACATTATAAAAGTATATACATATAGTATATATACACTATATCACTAGATCTAGGCAAACTGCATTCCCAGGCAACAGCAACAGCAATGACAACGTTTTTGTATTTGAATTTGTATTCATGGCAGTTAAAGCGTTAAGTTTTTAAAATTGTTGAAATAAAAATGTTTAAAAACAAACAAAACTGCATGTTTTTTCTGAATGAAAATGGGAAATCAACTATTTTTTAAGCGCTACATTTTATTTTTACATCATAATAAATATTGTTCATGTTGCAGGGAGACAGAGCGAGAGAGATATATATATATATAGATATAGATTGACAGATATATTTATATGAAATATCTGTTGGATTATAATAATATTCATTTAGTTTTCCTTGTTGTTTATAATTATTTTATACAAAATTCTCACATTTAGGTTGTTTAGCTTTTGCACATTATCACGAGATTTCGTTATTTATTTTGCTCGGCATTTGACATTGATTTAAACTATTTAACTAGAGCAACAATTGATTCGTTTAAACAAAGTGCATTGGATTCGATAATATAATATAATATAATATATATATATAGATTCATATATATTTAATAATCATACATAATATGCAATATAAAATTATATAAACAATAATACACATATATTTATAAATCAAGCGCGAAACTCAAAAAATATCTCAACGAACAATTTCTCTTTACGCAGCAGGCAAACGTATGTATATACATATATAAATATCTCTCTATATATATATGTAAATTGCAAATAGGCTATAAATAGCTATAAACTGTATACGCTCATATATATAGTAACACAACTTTCATTCGGATCGATCGATATTGCAGCAAATGGCGTAGTTAGCACCGCTTTCGATCTACTGCTGCCGCCGTTCTTCCTCTTCCTCTTCCGCTTCCTGTTCCTCTTCCTCCTTCTTCACTTGCGCAACGGATCCAAACTCTCCAATGAGAAGTCATCAATGTTAAGCTGACTCTGAAAACAATTCAACATATATTTTAGATTATGTATAAATGGCTGAGGTATTTGCTTGGATTTTCAGGAAATTCTGGTTTCATAAGCTCATATAATCATCTTTCATCAGTCAATCATATCGTCAGCCATACACTCAATTGAATCCAAAATCAAATTGCTAATCTCCACTCAATTATTCCCATTAATCCTCTTCATCGAACTCTGCTCCTCAATTCCTTTCGAATCTTCAGCCAGTCAATTACTCCATCAATCAATGCTCACCTTGAACACGCTGGGCCCGTTGTTCATTTCAAATGGATCGGAGCCAAACAGATCCGTATTGCCATTCAAGCCGTTGTTGCCGCTATTGGACACCGAGGTGCTGCGACGTGGTGCCGCAATCTTTGGCGGCGGTGCCACTGTTGCCACATGCAAAGAAATTAACAGTTATTGATTGAGCACTCTCAATACATTTCAAATGGACCTACATAGAGGTGGCGTAATGTTCAGCTCGCTGGAAAAGCCGCTGCTGTTGATGCTGTTATTATTGTTGTTGTTGTTATTTAGACTGCTGTTGTTGTTATTTAGGCTACTGTTGTTGTTGTTGTTGTTGAAGAAAAGCTGCTGGCCAAAGCTCTTGGATGGCTCAAAGCCAAATAGATCATTGCTAATGGCATTACGTCCATTGCTCAGATTATCCTGTATCTCATCGGCCCGTGGATCGAAATCACTATCCGAATCCGAATTCAAGAGGAGCTCGTCCATTTTCTGGCTATTGCTCTTGCCACCACCGCCGCTGCTGCTGCTGCTCATCTGGCTGGAGAGATTGCTCCGCGGCGGCACAATTGGCAAGAACGAGTTGGGGGACGACGAATGTGTCGAGGAGGCGGTCATCGAATTGGTATCAATCAGCAGCTTGTCCTCATCTAGCCAAGGTGATTGAAACGTTTAATTGAAGCCTAAGTTTGCTTGATCCATCAAGACTTACCCAGCTTGCCGTTGCTCAGCTGTTCGGTGCCATTCAGCTGCTGGCTGGGCACCTCGACAATATCCTTGACGCCCAGCTTATAGAGCATTGCATCCAGCTCGGCCTTTGGCAATTTGTTCGACAGTTCGCGCAGTCGCTCTTTGTATATCGAAATTGTCTGCTGCAGATGCTCAATTTGTTGCTGCGCCTTGTGTAGATTTGTCTTCTCATTGCTGTCCATGAATTTTCTGTGAAGGGAAAGGGAGAGAAGTGAGTGATTGATTGACTGATTGATGATTGTAGTGGGACTAAACTAGAGCTAGATTTTTTGTTTTTATAAAATGAAGTAGAGAATTGAATGCTCACTGCATTGAAATTGAAAGCGGATTGATTGAAAGAACGATTTATGATAGAAGGACAGATTGAACTGTTAGAGCTAAAAGCATAGATATGATTTGAGAGAGATATATAGAGAAAATATGAATACCCAAATGAAATGCCAACCAATGCATGATGATTGATAGACTGAATGATTGATGGACAACACATAGGTAAACTTATAAGAGCTAGACAGCTGAACAACTCTAAGCTAAGCCAATTGAATAGCTAAAGGTAAGTCAAACCCACCTGTAGGCCAAATCGAAGGCCTGGCCAATGGTCAACGTAATGTCCGAGGCCAATTTGTTTGATATGAAGACAAAGCACTCGTGCGTCTCCTCCGGCTTCGCGTTGCCATTCGAATTGTAGCCGTTTGTGTCTGTTGCGCCATTATCTTTCGTCTTGATTGTCTTGGCAATGAAGCTAAAGAACTTTTTCACGCCCTTCTCGTCTGCACAGTACGAGATGTTGTACAGCGGAAACTGATGTAGTATTTTGTGTGTGCGCGGCTCCTGTATGGCCACGCCCTTGATGCTAATCGTAATCTCCAGTTTCTTAAATTTCTCCTGTGTGCCCGTTTCCGCCTTCTTCATTTGCTGGGCGAATTGTAATTTACGTATTGCATCCTTGACCACTTCGATGCCCTTGGGTTGGTCCACGCTCAGGTGACCAAAGAACTGCAGAGATCGAGATAGAAGAGGGGGTATTAGAAATGGGTCTCTTTGACTGGCAGATACCCTATATAGCATATCTTGGCACGGATCCCTATTTCTTCTTTGACTTACTCTTAGGCATTTAATTTATTGTTAAATATAGATATTTTAGATCCAACTATGAAGTGT